TAGATGCCTTATGATATGAAGTTTCCGTCTGTCATATATGTCTATTGTCATTGACCTCATTTTCATGGTTCAGTGACTACTTGAAAAAAAAGTTCAGAATTTTTGTAATGTTAATTTCTCTCTTATTATGAGTAATTGGATAACTATATTTGGTATGTGCGTACCTTGCAAGGTCCTAATGCCTGTCAGACAGTTTTCATTTGACCTCGACCTCGTTTCATGGATCAGTGAATAAGGTTAAGTTTTCATGGTCAAGTCCATATCTCAGATACTATAAGCAATAGGTCTACTATATTTGGCGTACATGTATGTAATGATTGTAAGGTGTACATGTCCAGCTGGCAGGTGTCATCTGACCTTGACCTCATTTTCATGGTTCAGTGGTACTAGTTTAGTTTTTGTGTTTTGGTCTGTTTTTCTAATACTGTATGCAGTAGGTCAACTATATTTGGTGTATGGAAATATTTTACAATGTACATATCAGTCTGGCAATCAGTCTGGCAGGTATTATTTGACCTTGACCAAATTTTCACGGTTCATTGCTCAATGTTAAGCTTTTGTGTTTTGGTCTGTTTCTCTTAAACTTTAAGCAATATGTCAACTATATTTGGTGTAAGGAATGATTGTAAGGTGTATGCATGTATGAATGTCTGGTAGGTATCATCTGACCTTGACTTCATTTTCATGGTTCATTGGTCCATATGGAATTTCCATGGTTTGGTCTGTTTGTTTTATACTACAAGCAATAGGTCATCTATATTCTGTGTATGGAATGATTGTATTAAAGGTGTACATGTATTTACGCCTTGGTTTATCTGACCTTGACCTCGTTTTCTTGGATCATAAATGTTAATGTGATACTTGTAGTAAAACTTTATAAGTAGGACTATCAACATAAAATCAATGGTCAGTATAGTAGGCGAGACATTTCAGCGTGTGCACTCTTGTTTCAACTTATAAGTCTACAGATATCTAAATAAAAAAATAAGGTATATACATTAGGTAAAAATAAAATCAAACAAAAGACGGTGTTCATGTGACCCCAACCTCATTTTACCCATCAGTGATTAAGGTTATTTTTTTTGTGCAAATTAATATATATTGTGGTTAATTCCATTTCTCAGATTCTACACAATGTATATAAAGCAGTAGGTCAAAGTTTACATATGAACAAGAAGAGATACTATACATGAAACGTTTATATATATGTTAATGATGATGGATAGCTGCTTACAGTCCAGTGGCAAATTAATATGCATATTCAGGACAAGAATATGTTTATGTGATGTGAATAATAACCCTGCTTTGTTATAGACCGACAGCATTTAAAATAGCAAAAAATAACTAAATGACATCTAGAATGAAACCTACATGTATATATAAGGCTTCAATAGAAGGAAAGGCAATTGTCTATGCAATATGTCAAGCTCTACTCTTTAATGTGTCTATAAAAGTAGTGAATAAATTCAGAAGAAATATCTTGTTCATTGTGTCTGTGATAATCATTCATGTACATGTACATCACATCACTGCATGTACAAAAATGTACCACATCTATTTTATATAGATCTGTCATATGCATTTAATACACAATTCTGAAAATAAAAAAATAAAAACTATAGGCCATGCAACATGTACTACAAGTATACAACAGGGTTTATACTTGGTACAGGCACATGAAATGTGATTGAATGTAATGAAATAGTTTTTGTGTCACCTGAGACCATTGTTGCAAAATGTGACACTTAGGGATTACAATCAGCATAATTGTGCAGCAGCATAAACTATTTGAATAAAGTTTGATATTTCAGAAGATAGATGACCTGGATGTTTTATACCTTGTACACAGATACATTTTTGTGTACCTTATATGTGTAGTCACTAAGTTTCTGTCCAACAAATGTCCATTGTCCTTGACCTAATTTTTATGGTTCAGTGACTGCTTGATTAAAAATTATGCTTTTTTTTCTCATTTGAAATTTTCACTTTACAAATGTATTATCTCAGATTCTATAAGCAATAGGTCAACTATATTTGGTGTATAGAATAATTGTTAGATGTACATGTGCATTTTGGACTAGCAGTTTTTATCGAACCTTGACCTCTTTTTCATGGTTCATTCTTTAGTTGTTGTGGTTAAGTCTATTTCTCAAACTAGCAATAAGGCCTCTACATTTGGTGTATGGAATGATTTTAAGGTGAACATGTCCAACACAGGCATTTTTTTCTGACCTTGACCTTTTTCATGATTTATTATTTGTGATTTTGGTCTATTTTGCAGACACTTTGAAGCAATAGGGCCACTATATTCTGCATATGACTTCTGCAGCCCTTCTATGTCAAGTATATATTGATCTTAAAAAATGACAGGTTATTGATAATTTAGTTTATTGCTTTCAAATTTAAAATTTGATTAAAAGGTAAAAAAAGCTAGAATTTTCATTTTGGACTAAGGGAGCTACCATTTGATTTTTATGGGGGGGGGGGGGGGGGGCTAGGATGAAAAATTTTGTCCTGCATTTTTTTTAGTTGTAATATCTGTCCTGCCTTTTTATTTTTCACTCTATTCGGTCCTGCCTTTTTTTTAAGTTTATCCTTTTTTTTTTTTACCTAAATTGTCATCCTGAGGCCTTAAAAAAGAATAGGGTTTGTTTGCCCTAACCCTATCTACCCATATAATAGCTGCCTACTCAAAATCTTTTATTGTTCTGATGTGAAATTTTTTTTTTTTTAATCAGATAGGCATGAAGACTAAAAATCATCTGACACTTCAATTACTCTTTAGAGAAAAAAAAGAAAATGCCTACCTACCTACCCACTGTCTCTACCTTTGGGTAGGGTTTGGGCAAACCAAAATATTTTTAAGTGTGGCTTGACTTTTTTTTTTGCAAGTGTCTCATCCTGCCTATTTTTTTCAAATTTCATCCTAGCCCCCCCCCCCCCCCCCCCCCCCCCCTAAAAATCAAATGGTAGCTCCCTATACAACTTTTTTCAAATTAACTTGGATTTTAATAAAACTCTACAGCTATCTCAATCATATATTGATCTTACAAAATGCAAGGTTATTTGGAAGTCAGGTTTATTGGTAACTGTAAATGTAAGGATTTATTTAAAAGGTAAAAAAGCAAGAATTTTCAGTTCGAGCTAAATTCGCAGCTATCTAAATCATATATTGATATTACAAAATGCCTGGTTATTAGTCCCCTACCGTCAAAGTCAAAGGGGACTTTAGGTTTGCACTCTGTCCGTCTGTCTGTCTGTCCATCTGTCAGTCTGGCAAATCAGTTTTCCACACTTTTTTTCTTCGTTCTTGAAGATATTGATTTGGTTTTTGGTGTATTGTTTTATCATGACAAGTTACAGATCATGTTCGAATTTTATTTATCAATTATTATGTCAATGATAGACTAGGATTGGTTTTTTGTATATATGTATCTGCTTCAGCATGGGAATTGTTTAGGAAATACACATGTATTTAAATATATAGCCTACTACCTAAGATTTTTTTCTTACTAGATATAAAATAAAAGAGCCACCCCCCCCCCCCCCCCCCCCTGGATCCGCCACTGACAGTGCTATAGTGTACAGTTTAAAAGTGTTTACTGAATACTGTACTCTTTAATTTCCACGATTACGATCCGACCTCAAGTCATAAAGCATATGAGGCACATCTGAAAACTTTGACAAACGTCACATATTTCAAAAATTCATGGCTATAGTTACAATATGACGACGAAAGAGATTTAAAAACTATTTCCAAACGATTAACAATCGAAACGATAAATTTTAAGTCCCATTGTTTTTATTTTTGGATACCCTCGGGACCTTTCAATGAACCTCATTCAAGTAAATATGTTCCGCGTGCGCTGTTCAGATTGGATAACTAGAATTCTGATTGGTTGAAAAAGTCACATGCAAAATCCTTCAGAAGTGAAACCTTATACGGGTAGTTGTTAGATCTTCGTATGTAGTATAACGTAGTATAACGAAATCCGAGATCTATATTTTAATTAGATTGTATCACCAACCAAGCAGACAGTGAACTTCTCCAGAAAGACTTATCAGCATTGGAAGACTGGGAAAACAAATGGCAGATGAGTTTCAATGCCAAAAAATGCCTTGTCATTAGAATATCACCAAAAAATCGACCAGTGATACAAACATCATACCAACTACACGGTCATACTCTAGACACAGTGGAAGCGAGCAAATATCTTGGAGTAACCATCAGCAACAACCTAACCAGGGACAAACACATAGACAATACAGTAGGCAAAGGTAATAGAACGTTGGGATTTATACGTAGAAATCTCAAAGGCTGTACAAAACCTGTAAAGGCAGCTGCATACGTATCCATGGTAAGACCTGCAGTGGAATATGCATGCACAGTATGGGACCCAACAACCCAAAATAAAATCAAGGCAATTGAACAGGTACAGAAAAGAGCAGCACGATTTGTGAATAACAACTACACAGACCGAACACCTGGCTGTGTCACAAATATGGTCAAAAATCTAAAATGGGAAAGCTTAGAAGAACGGAGGAAAACAAACAGACTATGCATGCTATTCAAGATCCAGCATGATCTTATAGACATAGACCGTCACCAATATTTAACTCCAAATGATAACCGGACCAGAGGTAAAAACCGCTTCTACCAAGAAAGAACAAGTACAGACGCCTACGGCCAATCTTTCTTCCCGAGGACCATCAGGGATTGGAACAACTTACCAACATCAGTTTCATCGGCCAACACCGTTGAGGGATTCAGAGCTGCCCTTAAGGCATGCTCTGAAAGGAAGTAGGAAACACCAGTTGTACATAATTTTAATTGTATAATATTGCGAACGTTTTAAATGTAATTTGTAAATAGCCAAGAGAGAACTTTCTGTGTTGCCTGACACTGCGTAAAGTTTTCGCGCGGAACCAATAACATTCAGTTTTGAATCCGGTTCCTTACCTGGAAGAAGAAGAAGAAGAACATAAAAAAATAAATATACCATAATTGTTGTATCCATACAGCTTTACCGACATACTAATACCATTATTCCACGTCTGAGGATAAAACCGTATCTTTGATGTGTAGATTGGCGCAACAAGGTCGTTGTAAACGATGCCGTTGTTATCAGTATTACCGGAAAACCCATTTGATGGATATGATAGAGTAACCTGGAATGTATGTTAACGTATTTTTCTCATTTGGTATACAAATAAAGTAGGAATAAACTTTAAAATAATTTCAATTAATAAAGATATCTAATTTGTTCACTATTTTTTTCATTTATTTGTAATTAAATCTCTGTCGTTAGCCCGGACAAAATATCACTTTTTGCCAAATATGTTAAAATAAAATGATACTGAACAGTTGAATTTATCATCAACCAATCAAATAATATTATAGAAGAGATATTTTAAACTTTTCCACGTCTTTTGATTGGATCCTGGTCTAATTTCTGCTTCGATTAATATTTTCAAAACGAAACCAACATGGACTAATGTTGAATATGATTATTGGTTTTCGTATCATAAAAAAAATGAAATTATGTTTGATTTGTTTTTGTGTTTGTTTTTTCTCTCTTTCTATTTTTTCCCCATAGATTTCACCGGAATATGTTAAACTGAGAAATTTGAAATAGGATATTCTAAGACCACTTCTTTATTTAAAATATGATATTCTATATAAGACTAAATCTTTATCGAAGTTCACTTGTTTCATACCCATGCTGAACTTGTGTCGTTGTAATATTGGATTTTAAACGTCTTAATCCACATATTATAGGACTGATGTCCTCTAGTGGCGACTCGAGTAATCCATTTGGGTGAAGATAATGAAGCTTGTAACCACTGGTCTGTGTTGAAATAATATGCCCGCCAGGAAATAGTTGAACTTTTTGTCATGTCACCGTAGGAAGCAGCTGCATGCCTTGCTGATGAAGCTGTGGTGGACTGCAGTGTTAGTTGATTTACATCAGCTACGAAAAGTAAGGCGTTATTAAATGTATAGTAATGATAAGAAAATTTTTCAGATTAAGAAAAGCGAATGGATATTCTGTTTCCTCTTGTGTCATGATGAAATGATGTTATGATTTACCTCATGACAAAATTCTGATATTAAAAATGAAAGTTTATTTAGATCTGCCAAAGAATCATTACAAATCATATTCGTGTTTGTTTTTTTGTTTTTTTTCTAATCTTCTGAATTAACCAAATAGTTCAATTATTTCATAATTGCTTACTGGAACATTCTCCACCATCTGCAAATATGTCACCACTAAATGTTGCTGAAACTCTGTGAACAATAGAAATACGTCCACCTCCGCCTCCTCCGCCCGTCCCGCTTCCTGTTCCACCACGTGCTGTAACCATTCCACTTCCTTTAAAATAATCTGTGTCTATGTAAATACTTCCACCGCTGCCACCACCACAGTTACTACCGTCAGCGTTACCATTAGCAGATACCAATCCATCAACCCTGACGTCATCTGTAGCTTTCAATGTAATAACACCGCCTCCTTTGCCACCGGTAGAACAACCACCTCCACTTCCAAAGTCACTTGGTTTTTCGATGCCACCATATGCTACAGCTTCGTTGGACTTTAGATATATACCAGTTTTCATGCCACCACGTCCACCATAAGAACCTGTTTATAAAAGAGGACTAAAGGTTTGAAAAATCTATAGGAATTCCGGAAAAAAGATAAGATATTTAGAAAAAACACTAGTACAGAAAACGTTCAAGTAAAACAAGAGACTGACATTTAAAAAAAAAGAAGAAACTAATTTCTTTGTTGTTGCTGACAGAATTATGGCTACCATATCCCATTATCATGATTATGACGTCTTGTATTAAAGGATATTTCCTTCTATTTATTGCTGTGACGCCTTCCTACGTAGGCTTGCAAGATGTAATAATAATTTGGACTGCCATATCCTTGACTCTATCTTCTGATATATTCGTTTTCAGACATGTCGGATTTCCTTCTTTTGGACAAGAAGCATGAAATAATGATCATATATATAAAAAATAAAAATGAATAAATTACTTTGGAAACTTCAAATCAACGTAAGTATAAAGATAATTTATACATAAAAAAAACCAGAAGCCCGATATATTAAAATTTACAATGGCTCGATTATTCAACTAACTAATCCCAATTCATGAAAATTCATCCGAAACACAGTTTCCCTATAATATAGCCATAAAATGTAGAATCATAATTTTAGGAATCTTTCGCTTGCATCCGGATTTCTAAGCACCTCGTCTCCTTTCTTTTGTAGAACTAAATGATGAGTTCCGTGAACAACCGAATGAAGATTTGCTCGACCTTTGCTAATTGTGCCGTAAATAGAATTTTATTTAACTAACATTAAGCTTATTTTATTAAGGTTTGCAACATCACTGTATAATAGACTACACTTGTATTTGTGATTTTTACTTGGGATAGGTAGATATATAAATATCACCAGGTTTATAGAACCGATGTCGTTCTCAGTCCTGGGTTTTGGTCCTTATACTGATTGCATTCAGTTTATGTGTATCGTGGGTAACAAAAAGTTATCGTAAAAATACAATTAATTAAGTTATGTATACGTCAACGACCATGATCTCATTTTATTATCCTTGTGATCAAGAAAAATCAAACATTGACATTTGATTTGTTCTCGTGAAGGAATGGAGTAAAGGTTCATACTTTTAAATGAATATATACAATAAACAAGAATTAACAAGAATATAGACATCTATAGATGATGTAAAATCATTTTATTTAAAACCTATTGATGGGTTAAAAATAGAATGATTTTTGTGTTAAAAGCATTTTTCTAAATATTTGTCAATGTTTGTCTAATCTGAATTTTGAACCTTGTTTACTGTAAGGGGGAAAAAATCTTCAATATGCCGATAAAGTGAAATAATCATAGAAATACCAGGCTTAAAATTTCGTGCACCAGACTCGCGCATAAAGATGATGTTCAATAAGAACAAGACTTAAAAATCATATCCGGAGCTTTGTTGCTTATCTACCTTTCAGTTCCGTCAATTTTCCATAAAAATATAAGATATTCTTTATATCAAAATGCTTACTTCATGTTTAACCCACATTTCAGGTGAATTAAGAACTGTCCTTCTATGAAACTGTTAAGCAAAGAAATCAGTAGAAAAACGAATCAGTCTAACGAATACACCTTTTTAAATTGTTAAAAAAAATTTTAGACGAAGTAAAAAAAAGCAATTAAACATTAATGAGATACAGAAAATAATTCCTTATAATATGTCAATAGTTTATTTGTTTAATATTCTCGAATTACGTGACACAATAAGTATTCTTGTTGTACAATAGCTAGCGTGACTGATAGCAATAATACGAAACCAAATGTTTCAAAAGTTGAAAATAATTGTGACGAAAATTGCCAAAAATTGAAATGAACATATCGTTATCTTTTGTCATATTGTCAACATCGGCAATATAATCACTTCAGTCTTATTTATTATTTTTTATTTGGAAGAATGACAAATGGTATCTGGCAGATAAATCTCAGTCATTCCAATTTAGCCAATCAGCGTTTGTCCTATCAGAAACTAAACAATTTCTGACTAGGGGATAGTTAGACATTGAAAACAAACGGATTTTTAAACCAGAGGCCGGTACACGTAAACCTTTATGAACTTAAAAGGTCGTGATGACTTAACATACATTGGGTGATTCATTTAAGGAGTTTAAACTTAAAGGCACACATTTAAGAAAACTCATTTCTCGTTTGAATTGTTTTACATTTGTTATTTCGGGGCATTTTACATTGCTTACTATGAGGTATGGGTTTTGCTCATTGTTGAAGACCGTACGGCGACTTATAGTTGTTAACTTGTACTTCAATTGGTCTCTGGTGGAGAGTTGTTTCATTGGCAATCATACCATATCTTCTTATTTTTAGCTCAACCATTTGGAATGTCGTATGTGGCATTAAGATCTATCAATTAACAAGAACAGAACGGAAAAAAATAAATGTACACACCGCAAGATAGTTTCAAAGAGTCAATAGTTACATTACAAAAAGTTACATTTCATCTATATTTTTGTAAGAATGGCATTTGAATTGGCAGAAAAGACAGTCAGGTCCTGTTTTAAAGTGATGATTTTTGTCCCGAAAAAATGCAAAATCCCTGCATGACTGCACGTGCTTTTCATGAAAAAATTTATAAAAAGTGCGTACGAACACTATATTTAAAAAAAAACAACAACGAAAGCTTGACCTAGCTCGCAATTTCCCTGCTTTAACATTAAAATGTAATTTTAAGAATTGAATGCGTAATTTTGTAGTGTTATAGGGTTGTTTAAACGTTGATCGCTTTTACACCCTACTAAAACTGCAAAAGAGGCATTCAATTGTAAAATACAACCGATGACCACAAAATGGGAAATCATGCTGCAGGCATTATCACTCGGGAAATCATGTTGCATGCAGGCATTATTACTCGGTAATTGTAGGTCCACGACACCAAACATCTTATTTTGAAATAAATGACAGTATTTATGTTTTTATCAGTTAAGGATTTGCCGCTTTAGTTAACAACTAAACAAAACATAAAAATTCACCTTAAGAATCTAAGAATCGAATGCAAAAATCTAACTTGCATTATATCAAATTGCTATTTAAATTAAATTGAAAAAAAAGTCTGGTAATGTGGACATAGTGTAAACAAATTATTCCGTTTGTTACAAAGGTCATACAAAGTTTACAATGTAAATATATATGAATTAAAGGAGGTATTTTAAATCGTAATGATATACGTAGTAGATAATTTATCAAATGTAATGGGTTCGAAAAGGATAATCCACGAGCGACGTCAGTTTCCGAATCCTGCCATGTTCTTCCCATAAACTTTTCTTACCTAACCAATTTCCTGTAAAACTTTGTGAACGTTATGTACATGTTATCACCATAAATGAAAGGAAATATCTAAAGACAATGTTATTTTTTTTTTTTTTTTATTTCTGAAAGTACGAACATGGGTGCATTCGTACGGGTCACGTCTATATTTAGGCATACGACAAGTTAACGAAAGTAACGTTTACTATATATTGATAATGTCATTGTTCGGATGGTATATTAACATATTACCAAGATTTAGGTAATTTCTGACTATGATGAAACCTAAATTATTGCTTTGAAAATATGTTAATTATTCAAATATGAGAAAAAAGTGCGAGTGGCCGTAATCGTATAGGTAATCGTATTTATAGGCATTTGACCGTCCTAAAAATTGAACGATATACATGTTAAAAATAGAGAGTTCTAATCTTGAATCTGGAATAACAATAAATATTATAGCGATCATCGCGCTACAAAATTAATTTTTGCCATTTTGACTAAAAAAAAAATAGGTATACGATAAGAGATTTCATTCAAAATACTTGTATAGTTATATTGTTTATTTGGACAAATTATGACCAAACAAGCCAGAAGATAAAGAACAGCAATAAAAGGTGATTTTGTTCCATGAATCGATACACAATTTCCTTTCCTGCATTTCTTTCATTCTCAACTGTTGCTGGGCAGTCTTATTCATTTTAGCTTTTGTTCACATGATAATTTCCTGCAAAATATTCATTTACATTTTGTATGGGCAAGAAGATTTTCCTCATTTTTTATTAGCTCAATATATATTCATTCCCGAATCCTCCTGCTCCCCGGTCTCCCCACGAAAATCAAACTGACGTCAACCTGGAATAGTTGCAATCGCATAATGCTACTGGTTTTTCTTTTTAGAAATTTTGATATTCAAATATATTGAACTGTTCACTGAAAAAAGAATTTAAAACGCAGTACCTTTTATATTTTGGTATTGCTAAATGAATATTCTGCTTTATTTTTAGACTTTTTATAGTTGAATTGTTATTATGATCCTGTTTTGTTTAATAAATGAAGGACACGTATATGTATGGAGTTATCGAACAATATCCAAATAAAATAAGTCTTAATTCAAAATTAAAAACAATGAATGGGGAATGAGACAGCAACACAATTTGGGTACACGTACACAAATGTATGTATTGCCATGAATTGTCCATATATCAGTTTAACAGTATATATTTATTAACATTATTTATTTGTCAGCTGTCGTGATCAAGTGGTATTGTGTACTGACTGCAGGCCATGATCTTTCTGGAATAAATAGTTCAAGTTCGATCCCTATAGGTGTTATTCGTTTTGAGAGGTAAATATGTCACAAGTTAAAATTTAGAATGTGAGTCAACTTCAGTTGATAGTTGGTTCATCAAAATTTAATCTGGTTATAATAGTTGACTGACGTATTAGAAATGCCAATGGATAAATGATAGGTAAATGTGTAGGGAAATGGGGAAAAGGATTTTTATGGTATTTTATTATGCAAATCCTTGTTGGGTATGAAACAATACATATTGGATTTCAAGTAAATTTCATAGTTGCTAATGGAATTTGACCGATATATATATATACAAGGAATGACTATTTAGTGTTTATTGCTAAACATTTGGATATTGAGTGTCTGATTAATGATTAATATCAACAAAGAATTCTATGTATATCCAAGAGAATGATAATCCTTTTCTTCATGATTAAGTACAAACGTAACGGTTAGAGAGTACTTATCATGAAGAAA